TATCAAGAAAACTGTGCAAAAAACATGCACAAAAGGAGATTGGGCTCTTGAAATACAGTTGACTTGCGATAATTCAAACTCTGATAATTCATACTTTTGGTTAATTCAAATAAAATTCAATTTTTTTGATTGGCACTCTATTCTTTTAAGGTATTTAAGAACCTCCTATTTCAATCTCCATCATTTGGTTAATTCATACTTTCTATGGTGCCACACCAGAAAATATTTGCTGCTGTTCTATTATTATTTAAAAATTTGCATGCTTATATTAATTCTAACAGCCTAAAAATGAAAAATAAGCTCCTTGGGCCTGCCAAGAAAAAAGGCTTTGCTAGTAAACAAATGATTGAAATGAAGCACACGCATGGTAAACCACGATACTTCTCAATTGATATAGAGAGCTGTGTGCTGAAGGTACATATATAGCAAAGGAGCAGTTGGCAATGCACGATTTCTTTAAAAGGTCTGATCAGCAGTAAATGGCTGATAAACTTGTGGACTTTACACCTCTGCTTTCTGTTCATTGTGTGCCGTTGGGGTTAAAAAATGCTTAATTTTTCAATCTGATAAAATTAATGGCTAATCATACTGTTTGGTATAATCTCACCCACACTCGTATATCTGAGGACTTCTGATAATTGTAACTTCTTGATAATTCAAACAAAATTCATAGGTCTGTTCGAGTTTGAATTAACGAGAATCAACTGTATAAGTATGCATATATATGTATATTTTTTGTATTGCAGTGCCCAGCACTATCGTGACACAGCGTTCCTCAGTATACGTACATACTCGCGGCCATATTTCATTACAGTTGTTATATAGGTGTTCATGTTAGAGGACAGTTTTCAGATTAAAAATGAAAACTGAATCCTCTTTTATCAGTAATTGTGAGGAATAAATGATGACTGAAAGATTCCAGTTAGAATGTTACTATGCAAAATGAGGTCCCATAGCCAAAAAATTGAATAGGACCTCCTTTTCTAGCTCAACATAAAAAATACAATAGAGCAGTTTGTATATGATGAGTACAAAGAACAATAGCTGGTTTTTAGTATGAATACTACTATAGGAATATGATGTGTGCAAATATTCAGATACAGAAAAAGTGGCAGTACAGTGAAGTTTAATAAACGGTGTAAATGACGTGACGTACAAAGGACAATTTCGAAACGCAAATGCATGACACACAAAATAATAGTCTAAATCATACAGCGTGTCCCATTCTTTATGCAGCGCAATTTTAGAGAGGAACGGTGTTATGCCACCCAAACCTAATGCTTATTCCCAGTATAGTGTAGTAACCACTAATTTTTTAGTTAATGACAATTTGTCATTATGTTTGAAACTCTAAAAGTACTCACCTATTTATCTAAATGTCATTGAGGTAGACATGGGCATGTTGAAATGATATCTGTCCGTGCTACTTTCACCAACGTGAAACTCATTTTTTCATGCTGATAAAACCTGCAAAACATAAAAACACGTCCCTAGACTGCTGCACTCATCTGTAAGCAGCAGATGGTGGCCATATCATTAAAAGAAATGTAGAAAAAAAAATATGGGTCGTGCTATCTGCCAATATGGGTCGTGCTATCTGCCACTTCCCGTCCAAAAAAACATCGCTGTGATCTTAGACAGTCTGGCTGTAATCAGAACAGTGTTCCGGCCACTTATCAATGAGAACAGTTGGCCGTGAAATATGAATAATGATAGTGACGCTCAATCAAGCGAAAGGAATGCCTTCAATATTGCTACACTTGACACCCGACCTGTACCCTGAAGATTACTAGCTACTACAGCAAGCTGGGAACAATATGCACTATGTTTGGTTCGCGTAATGCCAGTCCTCTTTTTTTTTTTTGTTTATTTGTGCTGCGTGATATCTGGGACACCCGGTGTATTGGAAAGTACGAAAAAAAGAAATTGTCCAAGGAGATCGATCATTTTTTTGTATTCTACACAACTAATGAAACCGACCCCAAAGGAAAATATAGGGAACATTATGTGTGGTTCCTTAACCGTACAGTGTTACGATTCTCACTAAAATTGAAATGAAATATTCAAGTGGGTGCTCAATTCTAAATTTGTGGGTTTGTTCACAAACTACAGTACATTTAAACCTCAAATAATGTGCTTAACTTGGCCTTAGTCGGTCGATTTCATTAGTCGTGTACACACTGGAAAGGGCTTTTCTTCGACAAGGATGTTAAATGATGGCCTAAGGCGTCACAATACAAACAGGCCTAATAACAGTAAAATAAATTATATACCACTCAAAGTATGATGGACACTCAAAATGAAATGAACACCTGACAGAGTTCAAGGATTAGTCCGTTTATTCATGTATGTCACCCATGATATATACACTTACGAAAACCTTCATATTACCGAAACCTGAACCGAACGAAATCGATGTTGGCAAATAAATATAAAATGTAATGTCTTTTATCGTTCGGATGAAATTTTTCAAACTGTCTCGCAGTTTTAAATATATAATGAGAAGTTCTGTCTTTGTAAGTTTGTGTGGGACTCCTGGCAAAATGCAGACAGCTGTACCGTCATTGAGTGCAAGAAAATGCCACAGAACACACCGGTACTTGTGAAGTACTCAAAACTGTAGCCGCCGACGAAGCGATTTGCGATATTCGGGCAGCCAAGCTGAGTGACTCGATGCGCGGCTCCACCATGCCTAAGAAAAAGCGCAGTGGCACCACGAGAAACCCTAGCGGCGGTCCTTGGTATTTCGGGCCGCCGAGATAGACGCCGCGGCCTGCCGGTTGTGCCACTGGAATTCACTGTAGCCCAGTGCATTAAGATTGAGGTAAACCTTGTGTCTTTTGTTCACCCCCCCCCCCCCCGCCTCATTTTCGTGAAACAGGTTTTGCTTTTTTTGTTTTTCACAAAATGTTTTGTTTTCGATTATTCCTAGTTCAAGATTACATGCAGGTGAGTATTCCTTATTTCTATATCTATAAGCGACTAGTGAGATGGTGGGAATATTAGCTCTGTGGGCAGCTTTGCTCGATTCTAAAACACACTAAGACTTTCAGAAGCTCGTCATTGCTAATGTGGACAAGGTGGCTTTGCATTCAGGAAAGAAAAGTCACAGTTTCACCAAAAGGGCGAAGCAATGAATGCGATAGCAACATATTCGAATGTTATATGAAGGGTAATTTCACGAGAGATCGACATGGGTCGAAAAGTTGATAATTTAGATTTGATTGTTAATATTTAGTGCACATACCACCCAGTAGCCCTAAAGTGCACTTCGGTTTTCTATTAACTGCATATCTAAGAAAAAAAAATTTTGAAGTTATTTTGTACAGAGGGACCAATTTCGTCTCCTGTGATCTTCGAAAGTTAACGACGATATATTAACACAAATATTACCTTGATAAGGATGGCTTTTTTATTAAATGTACGCGTAACGAAGAGTGAAGCAGCATTGTTTGAAGTTTTTATGGTGAAGCAAAGTGTTTCTGAAAAATGTCTGAACAGGTGACATTTTTTAAAAGTTGCTTGATTGAGATTTTTTCCTTCTAAGCTAAACGAGCTAGTTTTTCATAACTTAATGACCAATTACAACATAATGTTTACAATATTGCCTGTCAATACCGTGGTTGTACTTTAATTACATAATTTTATAAATGGCCTCAAGCTTTCAAACTCGTCGGCAGTAAAGCCTATTGAAAAATCACTATTTAAAAACTCCATCTGGGTACAAGCTGCACAATTTTTTTATTGCTTAAAAAGAGAAAGGTGGTGATGAAGCTTGCTATAAATAAGAATGATTTGTTTGCTACCTACTGAGGTATAAAGCTGATTTTTCAACGGAGTACTACGTCGAGTAAATTGAGCCTTAATTTGGAACAAGACATTCTCTGATTGAGAATGTTCTCGTAATACACATACTTAACGTACTTCAGTGGCCGGCAAATATTTTAAGCGCGAGATATACCTTGCGTAGAGCGATTATTTATTGCTCGGATATTATTACATAGCGCAATACTTCGAAGGAGGGATGCAAAAATGGAGCATTTTGGCGACTTTCTTGGAAGCGTATATGGTTGAAATATTGCGATAACTCACTGAGCTTTCAAATGTCCTTACACCAACGCCCTTGCTCAATGGGCCCATGTAAACTAAATTCAATATTCAAGCGAGGAACGTACTCAGATTAAATTTTCTCACGAACATCACTCAGGCGACACTCTGTGAAATTTGGAAGCCTCGTCCGTGATAAAATTTATCTGCAAAATATTTTAGCGATGTGCTGTTCATTGCTATTATTAAGCGGGATTTCTTTTCTTCAATACATTTGATGGTCGCCAAAATGGGTGGTACGTTTCGCGTTGATGATGATGATGATGAAAAACATTTATTGTAAAAGAGAGAGGTACGGGGCCAAAGCATGACCCCGCTACATGGTCGGCGTCCTTAGTCCGGGACACCGCATGACGAGGCCCCTACTCGCGCCCGTCTCACCAGAGCCCGTTGAGACTCTAGTGATGAGCAGTTGAGGAGGGAATGGACCCTTGTGTGTTTGGCGTTTCCTGTCGCATACATACACTTTTAGCAGCGCGTGCAAGACGTCTCACATGTACCCACCGCGGCTGCGTACGTCGTACAGCCTAACCGAAAATTTCCAGCTTTTGCGCATCTTATACATTCACACTTACAGTATACTCTAACTCCATCGGCTGATGTTGCAACCCGTGTTTTTCTCGAGTTCACGGACATCGGTTTCCCGCCATTCTCCAGCCCCTCTTGCGCGGGCAAACCTGACGCGAATGCCGTACTCGGTTGGAGCGTCCGATTCAGTTGTTCCAGCGAGTGGGCGCTTTCCCGCGACTGCGCTGCCATGTGCTCCCGGAGGGCGACGGGAAAGAGGGAGCTACGTTTGGGGAAGTAGGGAGAAGGAGCGCTGATCACCGTGGAGGCGCCCTCTGTAGTTCGCGACTTGCGTTCCGGCGTCGGCGGCGGCGCCTGGTACAGGCATGGCGGCACTGGCTGTGGCGGCTGCTGCCCTGTCTCTGCTCAGCGCCGCTGCTTCATCGAAAGCCGCCTTCAACCTCTACCTCAAGCAACACGAATCCCGAAGGCTCTTCGGTGAGTGACCCCGCTGGGCTGCGGCTTTTAATTAATGCCCTCGAACGCCTTCATCCAACAGGGTTATAAAAGAGTGAGCGAAGGGACACGTTGGGTGCTTTCTGTTTTCTTCTTTTGCTCCTTGATTTGTTTCCATCGTGTGAGTCGCTACCTCTCGATCCAGGGCAGGCTGGCGAACATTGCCTGTTCAGTAGCTCTGGATGAACAACAGAGAACACGCAACGGCCTCAATCGCACAGGCTTCAGAATAACGCGTGGCGCGTTTTCGCTGCTTGCTTCCCGTTGGAGCGCCACTGCGACTTGCGTCTGTGCGTCATCTCCCGAGGCGCATGTGTCTACGAGAAAAAAAAAAACAAAGAAAGAATGGTCCCAAAATAGGCTCGCACATGTTGAGATCGAAAATAGTATGATATTGGAAATCTTACAACTGCTAGTAGTGCACGTGGGAGCAGCTGTCTGGAAACACGCTGCTTTCGTAGAAATTTATTTTCGTCGTATTCACCATTTCAGGTTCAGCTATGCCGTCGCAAACGTTTACATACTACATTTTGGTCTTATTAATTTGTTACCGCTTTACTTTTCATCCAGACACACCCCGTCTCACGAAAACTTTGCGGATACATAAACGCACCACAGCCGATTATGTTTCCCGTTTGTGATTTCCAAAAGATGCACGGCACACCGTCTCTTGCAAAACTGCGTCCCGCTTAAACAAACATTTTTAATAGCCTTTATTACGAATTGATGCAACCAAGCTTGAAATCAACTACTCAGCAAATTGTCGAATTTTTTCTATACGCCATAAAGATATTGGCATACTCGTAAATCAACTCGTCAATCTGTAGTAGTCTGCTTCGTCGGAGTCCGAACGAACCATTTTTTGTCTTTTTTTTTTAAACCTTTCAATACTCGCTTCAATACTCTGAGGCAATATAGTTTCGATGATGTTGTTCTGAGCTATTATGAGTCATCAAAGAGATTTCTTACCAAAGGTAATTGAAACAACTCGTAAGTGCTCTATGGTAGCGATGATTTACCAACAAATATGCCCTCTGAGCCTCGAGTTAGCTTTTCTTGAAAGCTTACTTTGCCACTGAGATGGCTTGCTTGCAGTAAAGCGACATTTACAGGCAGGTGATACCGCCGTTACTTGTTCATTTCATCACACACACACAAAAACATATATATATACCAGTGTGGTGCGCTGTGTGCGGAAGGTTCCGAAGATTTGTCGCTTACACAAGAACATGGTGTATGTCCGTGTAGTGCCGTCTTACGGTAGCTTTTGGCGCGAAACACACACGAGAGACGGACAAGCGGAAAAGCTACCGTAGGAATGAACCAACTCGCCCAACAAGTCACTCTGCTGTAGTGCCATCCTGTTTCTTAGATGAAGTCAATTTAATTTTGTCTCAGCTTCTAAAATAATTTTCGTGAGTTCGCTCAGTGACAAGCAGAATCATAGTCATCTAAATTATTAGTTAATTGGCTTCTACCTCCTCATAAATTAGTATTTCATCGTACGAAGGCGTTCATTGCTGTATTTAGTATATTCCAAGCCAAGGGTCACTAAGCTTACGACGTAAATCCCGCTTATTTTTATAAAACTGGTAGTTCATATTGTCTATCCAGTTTTCTCCTGTACATATATTCATTTCAAAAATCCCTAAATATTTTCTCAGCTACGTAGAAATTTTATGTTTATTATTTGTTACTACGTCTAATCATGGTATCGTGGATATTTTAGATAATGAAAAACCATGCATAAAATCCTCCGCTAATCTTATTATATTGTTAAAATTGCGAGTGACTTTTTCTTTGTTACATCTATTTGCATGCCAGTGCTGATGCCAGTGCCCAACCTTTTATGTAGTTAGTTCCATGTTTTCGAGTGCCTCGCCTCCCGAGTTCCACGTTTATTTTTCCTCTTCTCAAGTGTTTCCTAAGTTATAATTTAGAATGTTTAATATGCACATGTAAATTACCTCGCAAGTGCATCCAGATGAACAAAAAATCTATGCCATTAGGAAACTTAAAAGCGAATGGAAACGGGATTCTGTTCAGCAAAATTAACGCCAAGAGATTCAGCGCCGCCGAATCGCACAGCGCTGTGCATTGACCGTGGCTCGCTCGGTCTACAGGGTTCGGTCAGCCGTCGTGTACGTGCACACAGCGCAGAAGTAAATGAAATAAGAAATCTCGCACCTTAACGCGCTGTTGAAATAGGATCTGTCAAAAAAAAAAGAAAAGAAGTATATACTCGTAGAAACGTGGTGAATGAGAGAAAAGCAAAGAAGAAAGCATGGAAGGAGATTGTGCGACGCAGGAATGAAATTCTACTCGAATATATCTCTGTCTGACTAACGCGGAACTTAGGGTGACACCACACTGCATGGAACTTTCAGATTGACGTCCAGCTCTTCAGCCAGAAAAAAAAAAATGACGAAAACAAGAGTCACAGGAAGGGCTCCCTCTTCAAGCACAGGCTCTACCTGCCGGAGATATGCACGGTCAAACGGAACTACGGCAGTGAGCAACATTAGCTAAATTAAGCTAGCGTGCTGCGCTTTGCTCTGGCCGTCTCTCTGTTCGCAGGTTTCGCATTCTATACAGTGACGGGTAGACGGGACGTGCCAGGGGGGAGAGAAACGACGACCAATTTTCTTACGTGCAGAGACGTGATTAACGGCTTTTTCTGTTTCTTTTTTTTTTTAAGTTTTGTGCTCGAACCACACGAAACGGGAATTCAGAATTTCCCGTATCTAGCACCACGCCAGTAATAACTATGTCAGCTCGATCATTTCTAACGGATTAGAGTGTCTGGCTGTAGCGCACAACCCCGGCATCCGTTGACACAAAATCGATGGTTACCTTTTTACAGTCGTCGCTGCATCTTGCTACGACTACTCCGATCGGAACAGACGCGATGTATTCGCTGAAACTACGTATTCGTGTAGAGTTTAGACAAAGGGTTCGTTCGTCACTTAATTCATCTACTCGTTCATCATTGACCCGTTGCAGTGATGAACGAGTGGTCAGAGAGAGAGATAGAGGGATTTAACAAAGAAGACAAAGTGGGCCTGGGCTACTATGACCAGCTACACTGCGCTGGCAAGAGTGACTTTTACCAAGAGCTTGTATTCAAGCATTAGCACTTAGCAGTATAATTATACGAAGCCTTGCATATGAGTAAAAGTTTCATAATAAGAATAATGCTCTGCGAAATTTATCGCACATTTATATGTGTAGGTACACGTTAAGGGAACATGGATAGTTAAAATAATCCCGCATACATTCACTGTGTTGTTTCTTGTCATATACCGTGGCTCATCAGTCGAGTCGTGCGGCAGTCAGTGAGGACGATTAGCCTAGCCGTGAGAGTTTGAGTGGTAGTTAGTGGAATGATTCACTAAAACCAACGTAGTGGTAGGTCCAACGTAGATTCTTTTACCTATTCTTATGTCGTGTTCCAACAGTGTTTAAACTAGCAAGCTGTGAAATGGCACACGGAGTATCACGCAAACCTTAGGCGTATAATCGGCTTACTGTGATGAGATCGCATAGCTTCTGTACCTTGTGCAAATAGGTCTTTTGTATATATGATCATCCGCAGCATCAGCCTGACTACGCCCATAGCAGGGTAAAGGCCTTTCCCACTTTCCCATGTTCCGCCAACCAACCCGGTCCTGTGTATTCTATATGACGATACGTAACATTTAGTTATCGCCTACATCGTATCTGAAATAACGCGCTCTGAATGTAGCGAGCAGCTTCAGGACGCAGCCCATAGCTACACAATTGGGCAGCGTGGTTATTGAGCTCAATCATTGAGGCGTGCACGGACTTACGGAGCTTCCCAGCAGAATTAAATCACCTAGGAGGCACCGTAATCCTCAATTTCTTTTGGTTCTGAGCAGATGCTCTCATTAATGAACTTGGGCGATAGCACAGTTCCATTTTGCCATACTAGATAGCGCGAGGAGGCAAACATCAAATGCAGGAGATACCGATCGGAACAGACATGAACTTTTACGTACTGAACACGATAAAGGAGAAAATTACGAGAATTGCACCAGTTTCAGAAGGCTCATTCTCAGTCTGTGAGAAAAAAAAATGTATTAGTGTTCCCGGCAAAACTGGCCCGCGATGCTGAGGAGGCATTAAGGAAACAGCTTAACCGAAGCAATAATGAATTGTGCATCAAATTCGATGGCGCTTGTTATCTCCAAACTAGTACCGGTTACGGGATTCATTGCGAGTCAACGCGTGACTAGAGAACTATAGCCTACTTCAACTCGTCAGTTGAAGTACGTGCTCTAAAGCGATCAATAAGGCAGAGCCGGATCCTTCTCCCTCCTTTTTTCCCCTGCGATCAACGGCAGAGACAGAGTCAGAATGGGTACCGGCGAATCCGCTCATTATCTGCGGATTAGCGACTATACACTGCAGGAGGAGCGAACTCGCACCGCGCCAGCCGGTGTCGCGGGGCCGGCAGGAACACAGGGACGCAGTGCTCGTGCTTGCACGCGTAGAAGAAAGTGAATCACGAAGCTAGGGGGCTTTATCTCTGAAAGTGGTTGGAAAAAGAAAAAGAAAAGAGATGGAGGAGACATGACTCAGCCGACTTGTGTAAATATGCCGCGCGCAAAGAACCATCACGAACGCACGAACACATGAAACGAAGAAATAAGCTGGTGCAATGCGTATTCGAAAGTTCGTACGCAGCGAAGATTTTGAGAAGCGGTTATTAATGCTATGAAACCGTTCGCCTTGCAGCTGCAGCTCGTTTTGCTCGATGGTGATTGAATTGCACAGTTGCTCAATCAGATGAGCCGGACAATAAGGCTGGGGTGGGGGAAGGGGGGGGGAGACAACACGGGATTAAAGTGATCTCGGTTTTTACTATCTTCGGCACTGGGCCATTTTTTATTAATCTGGGTTCATCCTACTTTTCTACTGCATTCCCGCGGGACCGGGAGTATATTATTCCGGACGCCGGA